GCAAAAACACCCAATCAGGCCCTGGCCAGTGTGGCTCAGTTGTGAGTACATGAAACACAGAGTTTATTCTTATATTATTTATTGATCATTTATTGTATTATTTTCCATACAAACAACTGTAAATCTACGTTTGCCAACCCTTGTATACTGAACTGATCTTTGACAGGACTAAAGGCAATTCAGTGGGAAAACATAGTTTTTACAACAAATGGTGCAAGAAAAACATCAATAAGCAAAAAAAGTATCTATAAACAGATTTTACATCTTTCACAAAAATGAACTCAAAATGGATCACAGATTTAGTATAAAATGCAAAACTAAAAAACTTCTAGAAGATAACATAGAAGAAAATCTATGACCTTGGTTTAGTGATTAATTTTCAGATACAGCAACAAAAGTAAGATCCAAGGTAGAAAAAAATGATGTCTGACTAAAATAAAATGAGTAACTTCTGCTCAGTAAAACACAGTATTAAGATAATGATAACACAAGCCACAGTCTGTCAGAAAATCTTTGGAAACCACTTAATTTCTTTATGTACTAACAGTTACAAAATGTAAACCATACAAAATAAAAATTTTCAAATTTCTTGCTAACCAAAAGGACACACAGTAGCATAGTTTGTCCTCCTATATTTCACACCAGGGGTATTTTCAGGAGTAAGTAGCATATTATAATGCATTAGGGTTTGAGTTTAGCTCCTAAATGTAGTATGATTTTCAAAGATTTACATGAGCTTTCAGTAGTTCTCCTCACATCAATTAAGATAGAAATTTGCCTCGCTGGCATGGCTCAGTGGTTAAGGGTCAACCCATGAACCTGGAGGTCATGGTTAGATTCCCAGTTAGGGCACATGCCAAGGTTTCGGGCTAGATCCCCACTAGGAGTCTGAAGGAGGCAGCATCAATGACTCATCATTGATGTTTCTCTCTCTCTCTCTCCCCCTTCTTGTCTCTGAAATCAATAAAAACATATTTTCAAAAAAAGATAGAAATTAAATTGCTTTAGCTTTTTAACAAGTTCTTTAGGAACACACATATAAAAACTGATGTGAAATAGAAAAATGTACTTATATACATTCACCTCACCATCTTGAGGTTCTCTTGCCTAAACAGAAGAAAAACTCTATTTTTACAATTTTCTTGCTTTCCTCACCTCCTATCTGTCAATGACACAGTTTCAGAGCCCAAGTTTTCAGGGAAACTAGAGCGAAAGGGCTACACTATTCCAATAAAGGATCCAAAGGAAAGAAACAAGTGTTGGAATCAGCTCAGATGATCATTCTGCTTCCCACAGGACAGAAGGAAAGCACTTTCAGAAGGTTCCACATTCTGGACTCTCCAGGTTGAGAAAGAACCCCCGGAGTGGGGTTAGTCCCCAGGGAAAAAGGGGAGGGACACCTGAGCAGCCCCATGAATAAAGTCTGGGAGCTCCAATACCCTCTTCTCCCCAGGAAAAAACACTCCTTCCCTCAGGCTTCATCTCACAGTGAGGAAACGCTCCGTTGGGTTTAGTTTAAGGTTCTGACCCAAATACACTCCCAAATTCATGAACCTTAACCCAGGACACAGAACCCCTGACTTTTACTGACTTTCTCAATGTGCATGGATTACATTCTGAGTGCACCTACGCTGTGGATGTAAAACTCCAACCCATATGCCTAGAAACAGGCCCAGAAGGGGCGTCACCCTCTCTCCCACGTGCTCCTGCATCCCCAGCTTTCCAGGGCTGTAGCTTCTCGGTGTAAAGGCAAGTTAGATGGTGGGTGTGAGCAGGTAGGACACCTGCAGGGGGAGGTTCCCCAGGAAGAACCAACTGGGCCTTCAAGTACTTCCCTTTGCAGGCTCTGGGTGTGTGTGTGCTTAGTTTGGATTACCGACCACAGGGCTCTCTGCTCCCCACTGGAGTAGCTTTGGGTAACCACTGATATTTTAAAAGACACAAACCCAGTGTTTGAACAATCCATAAATAAAGCGAATATATCTTTTACAGGTGACAAACCTAAAGAGGGACAGTGCTGACAGATCACCCAGAAAAGTTTGCCAAGAGGAACCTCCACCCAAACACCCAAAGGACTTCCCATAGGCTGGCTGTGCCCAGGAACTATCCTGGGAGGTCCGGCATAAGAATTTTATACAACCTAGTTGCAAGTGGTTATTCGCTACTTTTCTCTCATGTAAAATATCCACAAACAAAAAATTAGCCCTATTTAAAGGCCACCCATTGACTATGGGAAAAATGATAAACAGTTAAAATATGGGTCTGTTGAAATGCACCCCAGAAGACAAATAGATGATATTGATGCTTGAATCGGAGAGGGGAGGTTGGCGTTTGGGAATGGGGGGGGGGATTTGGAAATTTAGGCAGTTAGGAAGATTGGGGTAGGAGCAGGGTTGTGGATTTGAGACCGTGCTTCCCAAACATTTGGAAAACTCAGGAGGAAACAGGAGCCCCCTGGGGAGAAAGGAGGGGCCGAGGACCCCGCAGATCAGTTCCTCCGACGCACGGACCCGAGAATAACTCGCGATTGTTCTCTTACGACCCTTCCCGTGATCACCGCACCATCTGGGTGGACGCGGGGCTGCGGGAGCAGAGCGGCCCGGGGAGACGGAAACCGCCGCGCGCAGCGACGGGACACGACGCGGGGTCCCGCTGCCGGCCACACCCCCACGCTGCGTGCGGGAGCGGACCGAGGTCCTAAGGCAGCTCCCCGGCTTCTGCACTTGACCTTGGGGAGGCCGGGTCAGCAAAAGGCGGTGGCAACCAGTACCTCGTCCCTGCCTCCGCAGCCTGGCCTCGCGCACTCACCATTTTTAGGTTTCCTGGGTCCCCCGGCGTCCTCCCGGCGATTTCTGGTAAGAGGACAGGTCCCAACCCCACAGAGCCTGCGGCAAGGCAGCCCGGGGCCTCTAAGGGCGAGCGACCCCCGACCCCCAGGACGGCCAGAGCGAGCAGGACGTCCGGGCGGGTTGAGGACCATCGCCCCGCCCACCTGCCCTGGGCCACCCCTGATTGGACAGTTCGAAAGGCCCTGTTCTTTCGCGCCTGAGTGACAGCCGGACAGAGCTATCTCCGCTGCGCAGAAGGCCCTCTGGAACTCGTTTTCCGTGGGACTTTTGCGTTGAAATACAATGTTGCGTGGTCACTGGTAGAACTGTGATCCTTTTTTACAACTACATGCCCTTAAAAGTCACCTCACCATATATAATTGGTCTGGCTCCATTTGATCTTGTACTGTTGACAGCGTGGAGTCTCCCACCCATCACTTCCCCACCCCCGTTCATTCCGTACTTTAAAAAATGCCCCGCCTCCCAAGCACTTGGCTCTGGTGGGAAGTAGGAACCTCGCAGCCTGGACCATTCATTAAATTCTCAGGTGTGCGGTTTACACTAGAGGGAAATTTATTTGAGATAATTTTTAAAAACTGTATCGTTAGAGAACTTTGAAATGTAAAAGGCTGTAATATCCCTAAGGCAGCAATGTTCTACCTTTTTCATCTCATGGCACATATAAACTAATGACTAAAGTTCTGCTACACACCAAAAAATATATATATTTGCCAGTCTGACCAAGAAATAGGTATAATTTTGATTCATTCACGCCGGATGGCTATTGTTGTGTTGGTGGTTCTCATTTTAATTTGACAATCTAAGGGAAAAGAGGCCAGTGCTTCTGACTAGTTAGGTATTGCATGTCTTAAAAATTCTCGTGGCACACCAGTCTTTCTTTTGCCACACACCAGTGTTGAAAATCGCTGCCCTAAGGTAATCAAGTCCTATTTGGACTGATATAACAAAACACTATTTTAATTTTACCATTTTTGTATTATATTGAAAAATTGTTTGCCAAATCCAAGGTCATATTTTCCCCTATGGGTTTTCTAAGAATGTTATAGTTTTACTTCAGATAGGGGTCTTTGATCTATTTTGGTAAATTATTATATGTGGTGTAATGTAAGGATCCAACTTAATTCTTTTGCATGTTGCTGTTTGGTTGTCCCAGCACCAATTTTTAAAAAGAATATTCTTTCCTCATTCTTAGCATCTTTTTCAAAAATCAAATTACCAGCCCTAGCCGGTTTGGATCAGTGGTGGTGGAAATGTGTGCCCTCCTTTTCTCTTGCCATTGAGGTTACTTGTGGTTCTTTGATTCTGGCCCTCAGGCTCCCTGTGTCAGATGGCCTGCAGGGGTTCTTCTGTGTCCCAGACATGATGGAGTTGTTGCTGCAGTGTGGGTGGGGCTGTTTGTTTCAGATGATTCTAAAGGTGAGCATTTCCCCAGGCAATGGAGAGAGGATACCAGTCAGGACAGGTATCTGTGCATACGATATGGAGGGGAGGCCTGGCAGGGAGTGATTCCATCATTGCCAGAAGGAATGCTATGTTAGTATCTCAGACTCACCACGCAGGGGAATTATTATTTAGGTGAAACCCAGATTTCTGAGAAGTCTCATTATTGATGGATTAAACAGTGTAGCCACAAGTAAGGGGTGGCTCATGACCTCAGGGAGTGATTGAATCTCCAGTGAGAAATCATAACGATCCACTTGTATTTTTTATGGTGGAGAAATTTTTTCATGTCAGGAACATTTTCTAAAGCTAACCATTCTAAATACCCAGAAGTCATTTTTTTCCCTTCTGGAAAGGATGACTTCTTTTTGGTTACAATGCACCTTTTCGGAATCTGACTGTATAATTGTGGAAGGATATCTACCCATCCAGTGCATCCCTGGTACCTGAACCCGTGCACCTTTTTGGCAAATCCACACAGTTCCTTGGTGGACTTTCAGCGCCGCGTTTCAATGCAAATGTCCCCGGACAGGAGGAGCTCTGCGTGCTTTGGGCTCAGGCCTGTGTAAGTCAGGCACCAGGGGGCGATGTCTTGCGAACTGTCTGTCGTAGCTGTAGCTGTGGGCAGGTGGGTGTGGCTACTGTGGGGCGGTGGGTGTGGCTACTGTGGGGCGGTGGGTGTGGCTACGCTCTGCAACGTTGCGGAAGGGCCTCTCGCTGCCACTGCGCTGGGATTGCTCTCCCTTGGCCTTAAAGTCCCACGTTGCTCTGCCCTCATCTGTCCACCTGTGATCCGAACGGGTCGTGGGAGTTGGAGGAAGGACTCAGGGAGACCCAGGCAGCCTAGAAATGGTGAGTGCGCGGCCGGGTGCCGAGCCCGGGAGGAGGGGCTGGTCCAGTCGCCCCGGCGCGACCGTCTCTCCACTGTCAGGTCCGGAGTCTGCGGACCCAAGGCCCCCGGAGGCTCCGCTCAAACTTCCGTCCCCTCGGGCTTGCAGTTTGGGACTGACCGCGAGGCGTGACGCCGGCGTCCAGTTTGTCACTGCTGCGCGGGGACCTTCGGCTCCCGAGCGGGTCTGGGCAGCTCCGCACCCACATTCCCGCGTCTCCCCAGTTGGTGTGATGACCACCGGGAGGGCCATTGGGACAGTCACTGGTCTCCGGGGTTCGTGCATGGGAGTAGCTGTGGTCTGTGGGGTCCCCTGTGCCTTTCTCCCCAGAAGGATCCCGTTTTCTCCTGAGTTTTCATGTTTGTGGAGCCAGGTCTGAAACCCACTCCAGGCCTAGCTCTGCGACAAAAGCCTGCATTTCCAATCTCTCTCCCGAATCTCAAACACCATCTTCCCGTCTCTGAGTCACAGCGTCTTTATCAACAATTTGCTTTTGTGGTGCATTTCAAAGTGTTTAAAACACAAAATCCAACTGAGTACATTTGAAGATCTAATTGGCTTTATTCCCCATTCATGAGTGGGGCAGCATCCCAGCTAGTAAATAGAATCTCAGAGGAGCTGTATGAAATGGAAGGTTTTAAAATAGGCAGAAATGTAATGTGACTAAGAGGTTAATAGCAAACGAAAAGAAAGGATTGTTTCAGGCAAGGTCACCTTTCCTTAGGAGAAGGAACAACCGCAGGAGTCTTACTAGGCAGATTAGTGTTGATCAGGAAGTTCCAGAGCGATTGGTTTAAAATTTTATTCCTGGGAGAGGTTTAAACTGCAGTTAAAAATAGTTGGGCACGCCCAGCAGGTGTGGCTCAGTTGGTTGAGCAACCTCACATGCACCAGGAGGTGGCCCATTGGATTCCTGGTCAGGGCACATGCAGGGGTATCAGCCTTGAATCCCCAGTAGGGTTCGTGCAGAAGGCAGCCAGCCGATTGATGTTTCTCTTTCATCTCTCTCTTCCTCTCCCTTCCTCTCTAAAATCAATAAAAACACATTTCAATTTTTAAAAAAGTATATAGTCATACACCCTTCAGCCTGGGGAGTACACCTTAGGCAATTTTGTTGTTTTCAATTCACTTACACAAACCTTCATGGTGTAGCCTACTACACACTTAGGCTATATGATATATAAAGCCTTTTGTTCCTAGGCTACAAATCTGTACAACTTGTTACTGTACTGAATACTGTAGGCGATTGTAATGCAGTAGTAGTATTTGTGATTCTAAACATAGAAAAGGTACAGTAAAAAATATGGTGTACAAGATAAAGAATGGTACACCTGTATAGGGCACTTCCCCTGAACGGAGCTGGCAGGACTGGGGACTGCTCTGCATGAGGCAGTGGTTGGTGAGGGAATATGAAGGCCTAGGATGACACTGTACAGTACTGTAGACTTCATAACACTGCGCACTTGGGCCACAACATTTATACAACAGATTAAATCAAGCACAGGAGAAAATGATGCAATCGAAAGACACAGCAAACACAAGATCTCTGAGGCTGCTGCCTGCAAAAAACAGCATACTGTTTTACAGCAACCTTTTCTTTTACTAAGTAGAAAGAGTACACTTTAAAATAAAGACAATAAGTATATTATAGTAAACACATAAGTCAGTACCATAGTCGTTTATTATCAAGTATAATGTACTGTATGTAATTGTATGTGCTATACTTTTATAGAACTGGCAGCATAGTGAGCTTGTTTACCCCAGCATCACTATAAACATCTGAGTAAGGCGTTGCCCTGTGATATCATGGTGGGTACGACATCACTAGGTGATAGGAATTTTGCAAATCTGTTATAATGTTATAGGACCACCATTTTATATGGGGTCTGTTGTTGACCATACCTTGTTATGTGGCTCATGACTATGTTAAGTTTGTTTTCGTTATGTTACTTAACACAAGTGATCCATTGTGGGCCTGTTGTCCCTTTTTTTAATAAAACAGACTCAATATTTTAATTGTTTATTATTTTCCCACAATCAATGGGTGACTTTTTAAAAGATTTATTTTGTGTATATGGATATTTTACATGAGAGAACAGTTGCTAATAACCATGTGGAACTACTTTGCATAAAATCTTTGTTCCTCTCTTATCCAGGACCTTTCCTGGGCACAGGGGTCCTATGGGAAGGCCTTTGAGTGGTTCCTCTTGGGTAACTTTCCTGGGTGTTCTAGATCAGTGCTGCCTCTCCCCGAGTTTGTCACCTTTAAACATGTATTCACTTTATTTTAGTCTCAGGTTTTCAATGAACACNTTCACTTTATTTTAGTCTCAGGTTTTCAATGAAATTTATTTAATCACTGCAACTTGAAACACGGTATAAAATATTTCCAAAGGTGCCAGAGAGCGGTGACTTTCAGAGAAATAAAATATGTCATTGTTACATTGCAGGTGTTAAATTCTTGTTCCCTTTTTTTCCTCCCAGTGGGGGTAGGAATATTGAAAGACCTATTCTTTATATTGAGTGAGTCAATGGATTTTCAGGATTTAGACCAGATGTGTTGAAGTGTGATTAATAGTTTATAAAACAAAATTTGCCATAGAAATAATAACATCCTTTTTTTTTTAATTTTTATTTTTTTGCATTGCAGTAGATACTTGTTGATTTTCTTGTTGAGCCTGCAAAGTGCCTCACAGTTTTATTTCCCACTTTGCACGTGAACACTGGGTTTGAGCTACTTTGCTGATTATTCTAACGTTCACTTTGTGTCTTTTAAAACATCAGTGGCAGCCCAGAGCCACTTCAGTGGGAGCAGAAGTCTGAGGCCAGTTACTTTAAGTTAAGGAAGCCGCCCTCCCACTTGAGCCTGCAAAAGGAAGTACCTGAAGGGCCACTGATTTTTTCCTGGGGAGCCTCCTGCTGCAGGTGTCCTACCTCCCACCATGGAAGGAACCTTTACAATGAGAAGCTACAGCTCTGGAAAGCTGGGAGTGTAGGTGCACATGGGGGAGGAGGTGAAGCCCCTTCTGGGGTTTTAGTTGTGGGTCCCTTGGGCCTGTTTCTAGACATAGGTGGGACTTTTTCATCCACAGTGTAGGTGCACTCAGTGTAATTCCTGCACATTGAGAAAGTATAGGAAAGTCAGGAGTCTGTCCTGGATTAGTGATTGTGAGTTTTGGAGTTCATTGGGGTCAGAACCTTACACTGAATCTAGCTGAGCACTTCCCCACTGTGAGCTGAGGCCTGAGAGGGAGCATTTCTGTTGGCATGAAGGGCACCAGGTGTTAGACTGGTGGGGTCAGAGGGGACCTGGGCTCAGCAACCTTGGTACTTGAGTTCCGGCGAGGAAACAATTCAGAGCCAAGACTCAAACTATAAGAGAACATGTATTTGGTAAATCACAGAGGTGGAAGAAGTAATTAGAAGAAATGGGCTTAGAAAATAATTTATAGAGGTAAAGAAGGGCCCTTGGAGGTTAGAAGAGGAAGGTAAAGGTGACAAGCCTGGTGGGGAGGAGAAAGGGATCTCTGGTCCTCCATCCTTAGGGTTTTTCGGGTGGGTATTTTAGGGGAGGTCCCAGGGGAAGATCTCAATAGACTATCCAGCAGCTTTCCTGGTGTGTCTTTTCAGGGTCAGGGTCTCCACTGATTGATTGGTCTCCACCAGGGCAGAGGGTCATTATCCAGTGCAGCTGGTTGTGAGGTCAGCTGTGACTGGTTTTGCTGCTTTTCTGGGCCCGGAGCTGAAATACTACTGAGGCCTAGATGTTATCTCTAGGGAGGAAAGGACTAGCCATATATGGTAGGGGAGGAAATGTCACCCTGGGGATGAGGTCCCACCCTGCAATTGTCTGTTGCTAGGCATCCAGGGCTTTTCACCCTGCTGACTTTCTGTATCTGGTCCATCGTCCTTGCTCTGCCCTTGTCTGTCTAACTACCCACCATACTTCCATTAATCCCCAGGGGGAGGAGGTGTTGGGGCTCCCAGACTTCATTCCTGGGGCTGCTCAGGTGTCCCTCCCCTCCTTCCCCAGGGGCTGTTCCACTCCAGGGGTTCTGTGTCAACCTGGAGAGTCTAGAATGTGGGACCTTCTGAAAGTGGCTTTCCTTCTGTCCTGGGGGAAGCAGGCTGCTCATCTGAGCTGATTCCAATGCTTGTGTTTCTTTCCTTTGCATTCTTTATCCACTGAATAGTGCAGCCCTTTTTTTCGCTTCTAATTTTGGAGACCCTGTAACCTCAGTCGTCTAATAGAACAGTTGTTGCTTTTAAGTTTCTTGGCTTTTTTCTTCTGAGGACTAAGCTGCTTTATGACAGACCCGAGACCAGTGTCTCTGACTCCTTTCTTGATGTTTACCGCTGACAGCTGTGAACCTTTATCCCTCCTTCATCCTCTTGTGCCCCACTTGTGTACCTACTGATAAAGTCCAGGTGCTCTTCCTTTGGTTCTGGCAAGTGATTTAATTCACAGAAAGCCCTGCCCCTGTCCTGAACTCTCACCCTAACCCACCCTGTAGCTCAGTAAAAAACCCAAGCTCCTTTCCTTGCTCTTTCAAGGCATTTCCCACCTGCTGGAGAGGCCTGCCCTGCTCTCCCCAGACATTTCCATATGAGTGCCAAGCTCTTTCAATACCCTCTAGGTGTGTATGTTGTCACTTGTGTATACATCTGAACCAAATTTTGGGTGGATATCCACCTGCCTGTGCAGGAGATCATAACAGTTCTAGAATAGGTAACACTGCATATTGTGCAATATTCTGCTTTATTTTTCTATTGATAAATCCTCCAGATTTTTTAAAAATCAGTTTGTAGCACTTTTTTTGTTGTTGAAAAAATTGAGCTAACATTGGTTAATAACATAAATTTCTGGCATACAACATTGTAATTCAGTATCATTTTACACCAGAGCTTTTTATTATTATTTTTTTAATTCTTACCCGAGGATATTTCAGAGAGAGTGGGGGAGAGGGAGAGAGAAACATCGATGTGAGAGAGACACAGCAATTGGTTGCCTCCCGCATGAGCCCTGACAGGACCAGGGATTGAGCCTTCAACCTAGGTACGTGCCCTTGTCTGAATCAAACCCGGGACCCTTCAGTCCACTGGCCGATGCTCTAACCACTGAGCAAACTGGCTAAGGCTACACCAGATCTTTTTTTTTTTTTGTAATATATCTTTATTGATTTCAGAGAGAGGAAAGGAGAGGGGCAGAGAGAGAGAAATGTCAATGATGAGAGAGTCATTGATGGAGCCCACAACCCGCGCATGTGCCCTGACCGGGAATTAAACCCCAATCGCCTGGATCCTAGGTCAACACTCAACCTCTGAGCCACGCCTGGCCGGGCCAGATCTTTTTAATATCAGTTCTATGCCACCCTTGTATGAATATCCACATGCAAATATGCAGTAAATTCTGTGGACATCCTTAAAAAATTGCTGGGATGTAGATAGGAAGTTCACATTTATAGGCAGCCAGCAATGGAATGTATCACCCCACACTTCCTCCATTTGTGCACAATTTAATTATTTATTCACTGTGGTCTTCAACACAAGATTATGAAATTGATTAATTTTGTTTTGATCACTATGAAATGTAACCTACCACATATTTTATTTTTCTATTCCCTTAATACCGAAGTAATAAACTTTTTTTATATATGATCTTTCGTCTTCTGTTAATTATGTTTTGTTTCATTTTCCATTTTTAAATTATGTGTCTGTCCACTTTTACTCTGGAAACCCTTTTATATTGCATGTATTACAGATCCTTTTCTTCCCCTTTTTTGCTTATTTTTTAATTACCTTAAATTTAATATATTTAAATTTATCAGTCTCAAGCTTGATCACTTACTTATTTTCTTATATGAGAATATTCTCTCCATTCTTGTGTCAATAAATCATTTTACCTGTGACTCCTAAAAGTGGCCTAGTTTTATCTTTCACATTTAAATCTATAATGAATTGGCTATTGTTCATGCAATAGAGGGTAATATAATGCATTTTTCCACAGCTTTTTTTGTCTACCTACTGGTGGGCACTTGAGCAGCTGCCAAACCTTTTTTCTTTTTTAATTTTTAAAAACATTTTAAAATTGATTTCTAGAGAGAGAGAGAAAGGGAGAGGTAGAGACAGAGACACTGATTGATCGATTGGCTGCCTCCTGCACTGCCCTACCAGGGATCCAGCCCGCAACCCCAGCATGTCCAGGAGGGGGAATGGAACCGGCAACCTGTGGGTACTGGGGATGAGGCGCAGCCAACTTAGCCACACCGGCAGGGCTTGCTGCTTCCAGATCTTGACTATTGTAAATAATGCTACAATGAACATAGGGGTGCATATTTCCTTTTGAATTAGTGTTTTGGGTTTATTTGGTTATTTTCCTAGAATGGAATTGCTGGGTCAGGAGGCAGTTCCATGTTTAATTTTTTGAGGAAACTCCATATTTATACTTGTCATCTGTGGATTTATTGATGGTAGCTGTTCTGACAGGTGTGAGGTGATTTTTCATTGTGGTTTTAATTTGCATTTCTCTGATTAGTGACATTTAGCATTTTCATGTCTACTGGCCATCTGTCCTCTTTGGAGAAGTGTCAATTCAGGTCCTTTGCCCATGTTTTAAAACATATAATCTGGATTTTTTGCTTTCTTTTTATCCCCCTTCCCCCCCTTTTGTTAATCCTCACCTGAGGATACTTTTTCCATTGATTTTTTTGTTATTGTTTTATTTTGTTGTTTTTTTAGGGAGAGTTGAAGGGAGGGCCAGG